AAGGCGACACACGGGCACTTCAGAATGCTCATGGAAAAACAAACTTTTAAAAGACAAGATGATTTTGGTGCAAATAATTTTGAAATCCATGCTTTTTTTTTTTCATTCTCCATGAAATTTTTGAAGAGGTAGGTAGGGAGGGGCAGGGTGGGGACCTGAAGGCGGGGGAGCGAGCTGAAGACAGGACAGGAAGGTCACGTGCACTGAGAGGGTGGAGGAGGAGAAGGGACCAAGTAGGATCAGGACATGGTGGGAGCAGAGTCGGTGGAACCTTCTAGACTGCATGGGGGGCGTCAGGTCAAGAGACAATTCTAGAGCAGGATGGAACTTGGAGAAGCCCTGGGTATTTTCAGCACTGTCCCCTCCTCTTTATCCAGCGCTGGTCTCCTGTCTAGATGCTTCCGGAACAATATCTCATTTAGTCCATCCACCCTACTACACAGAGGAATCACCAAGTTCTCCCTGTTCTGTTCCTTGGAGACCCAGAGTCTGCCTGACCCCCGTTGCCCCGGCTTCAGTGCCATTTGGCTGTGCCATGAAAATCTGGCTTCACTGGGTGGACGGGGGAGCTCTGGCGATTCAGGTCCTGCAGGCGCTGGCGGGAACTGGGCTAGCTCCTGCGCCAACTTGCACCTAAGTCTGGTCAAGCCTCAGCGCGTTGTCCCGCCCCCAGGAAGAAGGCACCAGGTGCCACGAGGCCCAGCTCTGGGAGCTGAGCTGAGTTTCATTAGGTGAACATGAGATAGAGAGAGCAGGGCAACTGAGAACAGGCCAGGAGCTGCGAGTCGGCCCTGGTTCTCGCCGCAGGTGGTACTTCCCACCCGTGTAGAAGAAGGCGGGCTTCAGATGTGCACCTTGCATTGTCCTGGGGTCCAGGGAACTTGGAAACGTCACCTAGCCTTCACATCCCTGTCACTCCTGCAGAAGGTGGGGGAAAGAGCTTGCAGAGCCCCCAGAGCAAGCTGGGGACGCCACGCACCGGCCCCAGACTGTGGTGGCTGCTCAGACGCTCTGCAGCGGTCTCCCTTCTCTCCAGGAGGCTCAGAGTCCAACCCAGCAGGCCCAGACGTCACTGCAGCCTGGAGCCCGCCACAGGTCCGCCCCTCCCTGAGTGTGTTACTTTGCACAAGTCTCTGACTCTTGTTCTGAGGCTCCCGTTTGTGGCTCAGAAGCTGTGTTCTGAACTTGGCTCCTGAGTGCGTTGCGAGCCTTCTGTGCGCCAGATCCTTCGCAGAGCAGTGAGACCACGTGGTTTTTAACACAGCGGAAGTTAGAAGTCCTGCCTTCAGACCGCGTATGCGGATGAGTCGTACTCGTTCTGACCGCCATGCCCACCCTGGCCTCTTACAGAAGCCACTAGTCACTCCTAGAATGGCCTGGCATTCTGATTTTCATCTCCAGTGGAAGATACAGTAACAGCGGCCCAGAGAGGCCAAGGAACTTGTCTGAGGTCACACAGCCTCCCCACGGAGGGTCTTCTTTTCCCCCACGACACCTGCCTTGGAACTAGGGACTTAACATGTGTGATACAGTGTGTCCCATGAAGACTCCTTCTTAGCAAAGGCCCAGCTGAACCACTTGTCAGTGGGTTTCCAGTGTCCAGGATAATTTGTAGAAGGTGTTTAGGGACCAGATTTCTCAAAAGACAGAAAACCCTCCTGCACTTTGATAGAAATTAGATGAGATCTGCAGAGTTAGTTAGTGCAGTAGGCCCAGCCCTCCTGCATGAGCGAGCAGTCATATTTCAGCTGGCTTAGAGGGGCTGCCCAGTAGTTGAAACCGTGTTCCCTTGACCTGGGAGAGAGACTGGAGCATGACCCTGGGGCCTACAGGTCGGCACGTCTCCCTCCGCAAGCTTGCCCAGGGACGCCCAAGCTGTGTCCCCAGCTAACTGCTCTTCCTGGCTGGGGCTCAGCGCACGCTCCCTCCTCTGCTAAATAATGCATTGGCGGGTGTCTGGGGTTTGTAAATAGAGCACGTGGGACAAACAGGTATCTCCAGTTGCTTACCCAGAGGGGAGCTGAGAAGCAGAGTTCGAAGAGCAGAGTTTAAGCAGATCCATAATGGCAAGGCAGCCCCCAGAGCAAAGACTTACCCCTGCGCGTCTCTCTTCTTCCTGCTGCTCCTCTGTGAAACTTTGTCACCAGGCAACAAGGCAGGCGCCTGGCACCTGAGGTTCATTAGCATAATCCTGAGGTCAGCTTCCAAGGGAGGGGCCAGAGGCTGGGACTGAGGGTTGCTGGGATGCCCAAGCTTCCCGCCAGGCATGGCCTGGCCTCTTGGATCCCCGTGGTTCTGGCAGGTGGTCTCCAGTTAGCCCAGCAGGATCCAGACAAGCCTCTCTCCATGGCAACATGGGGACTGCAAAGGGCAGAGCCACATGGCCACCTCCTGGGGACACATCTCTCAACTCTGGTGGCATCAGCTGCCCTGAGTGACTCTTCAGGGTCCTTCTCTTTCTTCCAGATACTTCCCTCTGCTCCTCGAGGTTCTGTTCTGAGTGGTTTCTTTATTTCGATTTAATTATTTCTCGCCACTTTGTGTCTGTCCGCACAGAGTGACTGTAACCCTCTAAACTGCAAGTCCACAGTCATTTTTCCCTTCCATGGAGAGTGCATTCTTAAATGCTAATGGGCAGCTTCTAAAATCTACATTGAAAATGGAGGTTTCCTATGTGGATTTTCCTTTAGTTTCCAACTTGGCAGTAACACGAATAAGGTTGCAGTGACTTTAGCTGTGCATTTGTGATCATTTTTAAAGTTTTTGTTCTTTAAATTTGATGGCCAGAAATTAAGAAAATCAGCAGAACATGTTAAATAGTAAAGTTATTATGCAGCTAATAAAACGTGGTAGAAAAATAAGAAAATGCGTATGTAGAACTAAATATTAAAAATGATCTAAATCTCCCCACCCAGGCATATATTGGAAAATAAAAAATATCATTAACAAATAATAGAAATAATTTTAAAACTAAAATTAACTTAAGTAATAAAACTTGGAAAATGCAAAAAAGCAAAATAAAAATGCTTCAATTTTAAAATAAAAATAAATCATTAAGCAAGAGATAGCTTTAACTATATAAATCCTGATGAATAAATTTTAATATTTAATATGGATGTATTTACTATTAATATTTACCCTTATGGAATATGAATATTTTTATGATTTTAGTCCCAAAACAAAGTGCATCATTTAATTTAGGATAGTAAATGGATTTCAATGAGCTAGCAAATAAAAATAAGTAGAAAATTTAATAATTATCCCAAATCCCACAAAACACACAGACATCACAAAACACACATAGGTGGAAATAAAATGAAGGTTTTTAAAGAAGAAAATATGTAAGGAGATAAATAGCTTTGCGAATGTAAAACTTATAAAAACTAAAACCACTCCTGGTTTCAGCACCTGGGCGTGAACTCCACACACACTAAGTTTGCAGTCGGTTAGCACAGCTGCAGAGTCAGGACGCTCATGCTCATGGTTTACCTGAGTTCAAGTATACACACACACACACACACACACACACACTAATTACTTTGCTCGTCAAGGATCTCAGTTTTCACGCAGTTGGAGCTTTCTGTTGCTGTCGGGTTTTGTTTGCTTTCCTCGGGCTTCAAGGGCAAGGCTGGCCCTTGGTGGAGGTGTGGTACTGGCAGGTGCTGTGAGCAGCTCAACGTGTTGAGCATTCAAAGGCACCTGCTCTGTGCCAGGCCTGAGGTGGGGGTGGGGCAGTGGGGCACCAGAAATTCGTCTCCCGCTCCCCTGCTCTGCACACCACTTCCTTGCCCCGTGCCTTCCTTCCCAACCCATCTCGACACAGAGAAGACGGCTGGCTCCTGCATTGGGTATTTGTGAAAATTAGGCCATCAGCAAAAAGGCTTTGGAACCCGAAATGGGTTAGACAATGATCAAGTGCTATGATTATTATGCCTAGAACTGCGTGCAAGACTCTTCCCTGCTGGGGGAAATGAAGAAAGGTGGGAAGTTACAACAGAGAGAGCCAGTTCTCCCCCAACCCCAGGGGAAGTCTCTGGTCTGGAAGACTATATCAGCCACCTCACAGATTTCTCCTGACCTGCTACCTGACAGTTAAGAGTCCAGGAGAACCCAAATTTGTGTTTCCAGCACCAGTCTGTTGGCTTCCTAGAGGACAGCAGCGTCTCCCGTGCCCTCAACATCCAGTTCCTGTTTTCCCTAGTAGGGATTCTCAACCAACAAAGGTTGTGCCCAGCCCTGACGACTGACCTGGCAGCAGGGTCGCCTCCCTGGGCCACACTGACTTTGTCTGAGTCCAACTTGCAAGTTGCTTTGGGAGTGGGGAGGCAGTGGTTTGAAGTGTGTGACTTAGCACAGGGGTCCAAGTTTCCCCTGTGGATGGGTCCTCTGTAGACACCTGCTGGGTTGGGGCTAGACCTGGCCTCCGAGTCCCCGGAGGTAAAGGGGTGGGGAGGTGAGTGGGTGAGTGGGGAAGTGGAGACCGAGACTCTTGCCCTGAAACTCACTGCAGACTCCTCAGGAGACCCCGGGGAGCTCCCCACCAGTGATGCCCACTGGGATGACCAAGGAGCAGTGAGTGATCCAGTCACAGGCCGCACAGCCCGTCTAGGGCCTTGGCTCTCCATTCTTCTTCCTCCCGGAGGGTAGGCAAGGGAACAACAGCCCAAACATCTCCCGCCGAGGGAGCCACCTGCCCAACCCTTCTGCAGACCCTGTCCAACTCACTCTCCTGGGAAGGTGTGCTCAAGCATTAGAAGGATGACGTAGCCACAGTTCCTGGAGTGCATCCCCCAGTCAAGTGGTGGAGGCAGAATTTGGATCCAGAGCTAACCCACGTGTTATTCCTGGCATCGTGTGGAATCTGAAACTTACGTACAACGATTGGCCAGGAAGTAGTCACCTGTCCGAAATCTAGAACCTTCACCTAGACCCTTTCAAGGGTTCTGTAGCTACTTTCGGATGAATATGATTTTTATAAGTGTGCAAATGTGAGCACTCACATTTGGTTAGGTGACCCGGCACAGCTGGTGGTGGTGATGTCTTTTTCCAATGGGACCGACGATGATGGATCTCCCTTGGAGGTCATGCCGATGGGATGAGGAGTTGGACAGGAAGCGCCTTCTTCCTCCTCACATCATTCCACCTGATGGCTACATCACAAATGGCCACGAGCAACATTCTAGAACCTTTCTCAGGGGCCGTGCAGCCGGGGCTCACTCTCAGTTTTCTGATCCTGATGGGGGTCGGTTTACTCCCCAGCTCTCTCTCCTCTCGAGTTCTAAAACAGACGAGCACAATTAGCAAGGCGTTGGCTGCCCACTCCACGGGCTCAAGGCTGTGGAAGGTTCCACACAGTGTCCTCTGCGAGGTGGTGGGCCTCACTGACCCCGCTCTCAGTTACAACTTCCAGAGCTGGGACAGGTGGCAGGGTCGCAGGTGGAGCCGGGAGCAGAATTTCCACTTGGGCCTTTGCAAGCTAAAGCAGTAGATTTGACCACGTTCTGTCTGGATGGTTGTTGGCTGTTCTTGGCCTGGATAACGCAAGCCAGATCAATGACTTCTCCACTGGGGAGGAAGGAACTGAAGCCCAGCCTGGGAAAATTGCTTTCTGCCTGTGAAAAGTCTGAATTGGGTGCAGAGGGATGGAGAACTCCTGGACAGAGGCTGTGACCATGGTGGGCTGTGAGGGGGCGGTGAAGAGACAGCTCCCTGCTGGGGCAGTTGAGCTGTCAGGTTTGGTTCAGGCTGAGGCCTGCAGAGTCTCCCCAGAGTCCATGCATATGAAGTATGTGGTGGGTGGGGTCTGGGCCCCTGAATGGGACTGTGCAGAGGGGCTGGGGGGAATGAGGAGGTGAGGTTTGGTTGATTGGAACAGCTTGAGCAAATCTGGGTCTTGGTAAACTCTCTCCCAGCCAGACAATGGCATTGCACGGGTCTGATTGGGATATTCTAACTGTAGAAGTGTACTTTGGCACAGTCTTTTTAAGAGAATGATTTGGCAATAGGTAGCAACATCAAGAATGCTCAGAGCTTTGAACCCAGTACTTTCAGAGTTAGGATTCTATCTCGTGGAAACGCTCATGGAAGTGTCCAGAACTTTATGTGCAAAGATGTTGGGATATACATATCCTTTGTGAGAATCAAGCCCAACCCAGGCAGATCAGCCGACGGTGACCCACCCATACCTGGTGTCCTGCAGCTGTGGGAACGAATGTGGTAGAACAGCATGAGCCAGCCTCCATGGGTGCTGGTAGGCAGGTGAGGCAGAGAGAACTGTGCCTGTGTTATGTCCCATGGGAGATCAGTAGAAACAAAAGCCATGCAGGTAGGCAGGTAGATGTGCACAATATTTCTGGAATGTTCTAGAACCTGTAAACCATGGATATTTCTTGAGAGGGAGCAATGGTTTGGAGACACTTTTATTATCATAGCCTTCCTTGATGTTTGCATTTTTGAAACAACGTACTTTTATTACGTGATGATTCTCCAAAAAGTTCACAAAAACTGGAATTAAAAGATACATTTATTTGTGTGCAATGATTTTTGAAATCTGGGCCTACAAGGGGTCTTCAAAAGGTTCATGAAAAATGTTCATAATGAAAAAAACTGTATGGGTCTCACAATATCTTGCATCAAATATAAATTTGTCTTTTAATTCCATTTTCATGAAGCCCTTTTAAAAAGATTTATTTATTTATTTGGAAGGCAGAGTTACAGAGAGAGAGAGAGATTGATCTTCCATTCACTGGTTCACTCCCCAGATAACTGAACAGCCAGGGCTGGGCCAGGCTGAAGCCAGGAGCCTGGAACTCCATCCAGTCTCCCACGTGGGTGCGGGGACCCAAGCACTTAAGCCATCTTCTGCTGCTTTCCTAGGCCGTTAACAGGGAGCTGGATCAGAAGTGGAGCAGCCAGGGTTCAGACCTGTACTCATATGGGATGCTAGTGTGTAGCAGGTGGTGCCTTAACCCACTTAACCCACAACGCCTGCCCCTTTTTGAAGTTCTGTCCTAAGTCACAGGTCAAATGGGGGGAGCTTGGGGGTACAGAAGGCAGAGTTACCGCCCCCAAACTTGCTGTGCACACCTCCGGGACTTCGCCTCAGGCTACATCTAAGGCAGAGTGACAGTGGCTGCAGATCCCTAAGAGTCAGTGAGGCAAGGTAGGGGCGAGGAGAGCTTGGACAGTGGGTTTGCTGCAGGCCAGCGCAGGTCCCCGAACACCCCGGCCCCACAGAGCCCCAGAAGGCCGGCCCCCTCCCCTTTCTGGTCCATGCTTTGGGATAGCAGGTCACCATCATGGTTTTCTGTCTCACACTGGGGTAGCGGGTCACCGTCGCGGTTTTCTGTGTCACATTGGGATAGCGAGTCACCATTGAGGTTTTCTGTCTCACAGGAAGCACCCCGGTTTCGACAGGACCATGCTGCAGAGGTGGCAGGTACAGTGGCTTCTCTGGAGCAGGGCCCCTGGGAATGCAAACCAGCAAAGAGCTCGCTCAGGTCCCGGCGACGGAGGGAGGAAGTGTGTGGAGTAATCCTGCAGGCAGCTTGTTCTGTTAGTTATCCCACATGGCCCACGTCTTTCCCCAACAGGAACACAGTGACAGATAGCGATTCTTGCCCTGGAGTCAGAGCCAGGGAGTGAGTGTGTGTGTAGACAGATGTGATACACACACACACACACACACACACACAATGCACATGCTCTCTCTCTCATACACACATGCAATCTGTCTCTCACACATACATGCACGCTTATATACACATACATGCACACATGCACATGCATGCACACATGCAGTCACATACACACATGCTGTCTCACACACATGCACATGCTCTCATACACACATGCATTCTGTCATACATGCACACTCATATACACACATGTGCACACATGCATGTACACACACTCACATGCACATACATGCTCTCTCTCACATGCACATGCTCTCTCATACACACATGCATTCTGTCACACATACATGCACACTTATATACACATACATGCACACATGCACATGCATGCACACATACACACTCACACGCACATACATGCTCTCTCACACACATATGCATGCACATGCTCTCATACACACATGCATTCTGTCACACATACATGCACACTCATATACACACGCGTGCACACATGCACATGCATGTACACATGCAGTCACATGCACACACATGCTGTCTCTCTCTCTCTTACACACACACACAGCAGGGGCAGGGGCATCTCCACTTGTTCCTGGGAAGATACAAGTGGTCCCAGCCCAGATGCGCTGACATTTAGCCCAGGGCTCCCAGTAAAGAAAGGGACCCCAAAAGAGCCAGTCCTAAAGACGACAGGACTGTGAGAGAGTCACTCCTGGTCACTCATGTCCCTTCCCACGGAGCAGGCTGAGGAGAGCAGAGACCCAAAGCACAGAGGTCCCACATCCAAGCCAATAGCTGTGTTGTGTGGGCCCCTGCTCGTCTCCTGGGTGGTTTTGCTGAATTCTCTCCCACACCCGGAACCTGTCACCATCTGTGACGGTTCATCTCAAGGCAGATGGCCTGGCAGCATGAGTATTACTCCCAACAGCCAGGGGCGGGGTAGGGCAGACACCTAAGTTGCGGAAGAAGGAAGAGCATCCAGCCCCTTGGCCAGGCCTGCAGCTGCTTTTTGCAGCCATAAAGGGGTCAGCAGCAGGTTCACGCACAGCACCTGTGCCGTGACGTCCATCAGCTGCTGAGCACGGCCACAAGAATGCTTCAGCTGCGGCTTTGGGTGGCCCGGCTGGTTTTCCTGTCTTCCGCGACCACCTTGCCTGCATTCGTATTGATGATGGGGTGTACCTGCCGGAGCAGCTGCTGGCTTGGGCACAAGATGTACCAGAAACAAGCCAGGTGCCAGCTGCCTGCCCCTCCTCACCAACAGAGGGGCTCCTGCGGAAGGCTGGGGTCAGCACCTTGACCCCGCGAGGGGTGGCAGACTGCTTGGCTCATACCCTCTTTGTCTCTTCTCTAGAAAAGGGACATCAGCAATTTTGAGTACCTCATGTACCTCAACACCCAGGCCGGCAGGACGTACAACGACTACATGCAGTACCCCGTGTTCCCCTGGGTCCTGGCTGACTACAGCTCCGAGGTAAGGCATCCACGTGGGAGCTGCGCGGGGCTCCCGAGGCCACACAGAGCTCCCTCGGTGAACCCCCAGAGCCTCTGCGAGGGGTTCAGTGCTCGGCCCTCATGATGTCACCGCAGCCTGGGTTTCTGCCCCAGATGCACCTGTGCAAGGGTCCCCATGACCATACCAACCGTCCCCATAAGCCCAGAGGGCTTCCTGCTCCCTCACCTGATAGAAGCAACTGCTGTGCACCCACAGTGGGGTGGAGTGGCTGTCAGAAGTGAGGTGGGTCATGGAGCTCATTCTTAGAATCAACAGAGGTAGAAGGGGAGTGAGGGAGAGCGAGAAAGCGAAAGAGAGACAAGCGGAGACAACTCAGCCATGGAGTAGGGTCCTGACCACCAGGCTCTGGCCACCTTCAGCGGTGCTGGGTTGAGTGTCAAGGACAGAAGGTTCAGGCCCCTGGCCAGTGCTGCCTGGGGCTGCATGCTTGCCACACCCCAGGATTTGTGCAAGGAAGAAATTCATGCGGGTCCCCTTGGCCACGCGACACATCTGACCCAGCAACCATCGGCTCACCAACCACCTGTGTTCCCTTCTTGTACATAACGTCCACCTGAGCCCAAGCCTTTCAGACACAAAATCGTGCCCATCCCCAGCCCGAACGCATGCCTTGCCAAGTGGGAGTTTACCAAACACTTGTATTTTTAATTTTGGATTATTTACTGGCATTTGAAAATCGGGACATGTCGCCTAAAACAAATGTGAATTTCCAGTATCTCTGGACCATCAGGAGCCGTGGCCACAGCGAGCCACTCCAGCCTGACAGATTGGTTGTGGCTGGAGGCCGGGATGCCACACACTCTGTCCATCAGTCGCTGGGGGCTGAGGAGCGGCTGTCTCCTGGCTGCCCCTGTCTAGCCCCTTTATGAGCCTTGGGGATGGGGAAGCCGCACTCCTCTCGTGGAGCTGGGCGATTCCCTGCCCGAGCATCCTTGCCCCCCTGCTAACACACGGCAGCCTCTTCTCCAAGGAGACAGGTCTCTGGGCCCCCAGTCTC